GTGTGTGTGTGTGTGTGTGTGTGTGTGTGTGTGTGAGAGAGAGAGAGAGAGAGAGAGAGAGAGAGAGAGAGAGAGAGAGATCGCTCGCTCCACTTCTTGTTGAACAGTCTTCTTTATTCCATAATTCTCTTTTTCACTCTGTATGGGGAAAGGGAGAAGGGGTGCTTAAACTTGCTAATGTAGCCCAGGCTAGTCTTGAACTATTCTGCCCCATTGTGTCCTGAATGCTGAAATTACATGTGTGTCTTTTTATTTATTTGTTTGTTTTAGTCCTGACTGGTCTCAAATTCACAGGGACCTGCCTCTGCCTCCTAAGTGGTGGGATTAATGTCATGTGCTATCATGTCCAGTTTAACTTAGGTATTTTAAGACAGGCGAATTATATGTTCAGGACTATGTTTAAACAGATACATTCTGATTTGTTTTATGTGTATGTGTGTGTGCTTGAGTTTAGTGTGTATGTGCACTGTGTGCATATAGGAGCCTCCCAAGGTCAGAAAGGGGTATTGGAGTCCATGAAACTGGGGTGAGTTACAAATTGTGATGAGCAATCATGTGGGTGCTGGGACCTGAACCTGGGTTCTCTGCAAGGACAGCTAGTACTCTTAACTGCTGAGCCATCTTTCCATCTCATAAGCAGAACATTCTAAGAACATTGTAGAGAATGGATTGCAGAGAGAATTAAGGTAACTAGGAAAAGCTTTTAGTATCCCAGATTAAGTATATTAGTCACCTATCTAGGTGAAGGCAATAAGTAAAATTCAGAGAACTTCCCAGGCACAATTAGCAATACATGGTGGAAATTAGGAAGAGAAAAGCCAAGGTCCTCCTTTTGTCAGAGAGAAGGTAGTGATAGCATTTACAAGAGTACAGAGCACAGGGTGAGCTGATTTTAGGTGGATATTTTTAGTTGGGCATATTAGATCTGAGGACTTGGGAATACTTGAATAGAGTATGTCATAGGCAATGGGAAATAAGTGCAAAGAAAGATGCAGGATGATGGTGGGATGGCTGTTTGCTGAAGGTTAAAGAGAAGTAAAGTAAGAATTCAGTGTATGGGAAATAGATGCAGTTGGTTTGGAGAACTGTGTGCAGATGTGGATATATGAGAGTAGGGTGTAACAGAAAGGAAGAAAGGAAAGAAAACAAAGAACATACAGGGGCCAGAGAGTTGACTGGTATAAAAGGACCTGACTCCCAAGCCTGAAGATCTGAGTTTCATTTCCCAGGATTCCACATAGTGTAAGGAGAGAATCAACTCTCACATGTTATCTTTTGACCTCTACAGGCACAGCGTGGCACATGCACACACATGCACTTAATAAATAAAAATTTGAAAGCATTATATAGCATTCTAATAATTCATATGTAATTCTTCATATTGAGCCTGAAGAGGATTGGTTAATTTGTGATGCAGGGCCTTAATATAGGATTTCCTGCTTGCGAAGCAAGCATTCTGCACTGAGTTATGCCCCCATCCTGGGTAAGTAATTTGTATGAGAGAGAGATTTATTTTATGTGTTTGAGTGTTTTCCCTTCATGTAGGTAAATGTCCATTTGCCTGTAGAGCCTGCAAAAATCAGAAGAGGGAGTTAATACGTGGTTGTGAACTGTCATGTAGGTGCTGGAAACTGAACCCAGATCCTTTGTTGATAGCAGCAAATGGCTGGGTGTTGGTGGTGCACGCCCTTACTCCCAGCACTTGGGAGGCAGAGGCAGGTGGATCTATGTGAGTTCAAGGCCAGCCTGCTCTACAGGATGAGTTCCAGGACAGCCTCCAAAGCTACATAGAAAACCTGTTTCAAAAAACAAACAAAAAAAGAGCAGCAAGTGTTCTTTTTGTTTTTTTTGAGGCAGGGTTCCAGGATTAAAGGCGTGCATTTTTGTGTCAGACTGCAGCAGCTTCTAGCAGCAGCTTCTTCTTCTTCTTCTTCTTCTTCTTCTTCTTCTTCTTCTTCTTCTTCTTCTTCGTTGTTGTTTTTGAGACAGGGTTTCTCTGTGGCTTTGGAGGCTGTCCTGGAACTAGCTCTTGTACACCAGGCTGATCTCAAACTCACAGAGATCCACCTGCCTCTGTCTCCCGAGTGCTGGGATTAAAGGCCCAGCCTTTTTTTGGTTTTTTGAGACAGGGTTTCTCTGTATTGCTTTGGAGGGTGTCCTGAATCTCTCTCTGTAGACCAGGCTGGCTTTGAATTCACAGAGATCTGCCTGCCTCTGCCTCCTGAGTGCTGGGATTAAAGGTGTACACCACCAATGCCTGGCTAGGCTGCAGCTTCTTAAAAGTCATTGTAATGTGGGATACTGACTGAGTGTTTTTATATTCTCACATAAAAATATGTGCATTCATCTTACACTTTAAATTGAATTTATTTTTGAGGTGGTTTCTCTCTAGCTTTGGATGTCCTGGAACTCACTATGCAGACCAGGCTGGCCTGACACCACGACCAGCCTGCCAAGATAGCTTTTTGTTTTTAATTTTATTTATGGCACTGGAGACATTAATTAGTGGTGAGGAGCACTGACTGCTCTTACAGAGGACTTAGGCTTGGTTCCCAGCAGTCACTTGGTGGCTAACAACAGTCTGATTCCAATTCCAGATAACCTGATGCCTTCTTCTGGGCTCTGAGGGCACTGTACACATGTGGTAAACAGTCATGCATGCATGCATGCATACAAAACATCCATACACAAAAAACAAAAATAATTTTTATAAATTAAACATTTTTATTATATTTATCTGTGTGTGTGTGCCTGTGTGTGAGTGTAGTCATGTGCCCCAGCATGTGTGGAGATCAGAGAACTTGTGGGAATCTTGTCTTTCTAGCATGTGGATTCTGGGGTTCAAATTCAAATTGTCAGGCTTGGTAGCACCTGGCTTTATGCACTGAGCCATCTTGCGGGCCCTTCAAAGTGTCTATTTTATAATAGATATAAAGGATTTCCCCCTGGCAATGGGCAAAGAGACACTTTTTGGTGGTAATCTTCTTCTATACCCAGGGGCAAAGCAGGTGGCAGTCCTTTTTTTATCCTAGCTTCATACCTGACTTGGTGGCCAAAGCTGTTTCATGCCTGGGGCATAGTAAAAAAAAAAAAATTAAAAAAAACTTTCACAGAGGAAAGCAAATATGCCTAAAAAAAAGGCATGGCCATTGATAGCATTTTCCTTTATTTATATGTGAATGTGTGTTTGTGTGCTGTGTTGCATATGTGGAGGTCAGAGAACAACTTTTGGGGATTGATCTTCTCACTGTGGCATCCAGGGATTGGTTCAGATCACCAGGCTTGTATGGCTGTTGCTTTTACCCTATTTCCTGTGTTGGGGAGCTCAGGCTAAGGTGGGTGGCACAAAATGAGAGTGGATGGATACATACTTTAAACAGACTGACCAAGTCATGTCCTGTTTGTTTGTTTTTTAATGTCTACTAACTTTTTGTTTGTTTGTTTTTTGGGAATCAAACTCAGGTCTTCTGGAAAAAGAGAACTACTGAGCCATCTCTCCCATCATTAGTTGCTTCTCTACTCCCATCATTAGTTGTGGAGGATTGAACTGAGGTCATCAGGCTTGTGTGACAGACAATTTTCTCTGCGGAGCTATCTTGCTGGACTGTATATTTATTTTTACAGGAAAAAGAACACAAAGTTTATTGTGCTTCATGCATAGCTCTATCAGACTACAGCATGGCATATGTAGAAGGGATCTGATACATATATATCAGATGGAAGATCAGCTCTCCTGTGTTAGAGACCTAGCTACTTCTAGCAGGACTACTACTTTCCTGCCTGATTAGGTCAGAATTCATGATTCCCTGTATTGATAAAATGTTCCTTTTCTTTTTTCATGATTCTATTTATTTTGGTTTTTCAGGACAGGGTTTCTTTGCTTAGCCTTGGCTGACCTGGAACTAGCTCTGTAGAGCAGGCTGACCTCAAACCACAGAGATCTGCCTGCCTTTGCCTCCTGAGTGCTAGAATTAAAGGCATGGGCCACCACCCCATTATTTTATTTTTTGTTATGTGTGTGTATCTGTGGATTTGTGTACATTAATGTAATCCTTGAGGAGGCCAGAAGATACCAGATTTGGAGGTGGAGTTAGAGGTGCTTGTTAACCAACCTGTATGGATGCTGGGACTGAATCAGCTTCTGGAAGAGCAGTGCACACTTAATTGAGCCATTTCTCCACTCCCCAAATTTGTTTGCTTGCCTGCTCTCTTGCTCCCTCTTTGGAGGCAGGATCTTGCTGTACAGCCCAATCTGATCTCTTCCTTCTTAGACTCGAGTTTTTGTTTTTGTTTTTGGTTTTTTTTTGTTTTTTTGTTTTTTTTTTTAATTCACTTACTTGTTCACTGATTAGTTCATTTATTTTTGCAGTCCTAGGGATCAAACTTAGGGCCTCTTGCATTCTAGGCAGTGTTCTACCATTGAGCTACATACTTGCATTTGATTTTCTTGAGGCAAGATCTCACTCTGTAGCTCAGAGTGATCTGAAACTCATTCTAGCCCCATAGGGCCTTAGATTCACTGAGATCCTCCTACCTCAGTCTTCTGAGTGCTTGGGTTACAGGCTGGTTTCACACCTGGTGCAGGCACTTCATTTTAATAGTGTCAATTTATTTTGGGTTTTGGAGTCAGGGTTTCTCTGTAACCTTGACTGTCCTAGAACTCATTCTGTAGACCATATTGGTATTGAACTCACAGGGAACCACCTACCTCTACCTCTGAGTGCTGGGATTAAAGGTTTCACCACCTGGCATTGTTAAAGAAAAGATTTAATTTATATTATGTGTAAGGTGTTTTGCCTACCTGTGTCTGTTTACCCTGTGCATGCAGTTTCTGTGGAAGCCAGAAGAGGGTGTTGGGTACCTTGGAACTGGGATTGTAGGTGGTTGTGATCTATCATGTGGGTGCTGAGAATTGAACCCAGGTCCTTTGGAAGAACAGCAAGTGCACTTAGTGGCTGAGCCATCTCTTCAGGTCCAAGTAGCAGTCTTAAAGGTGGCGCTTGACAACCAAGGTTTTAGGTAATTTTCTAGTTTTATAGATACTGAGTCTCCTCATCTAAAAGGGGGTAAAAGGATATAGTTTTGCATGGCTATCTTAAAGGTTAGTGATAATGTATACATAATGATTATAAACATCTGATTTAGATATCCCTGTTACAAAGTCTGATAAGGCTGAGATGACCAGTATTCAGGGTGTGATTAAGTCTCTGTTCTTTCCTGTGCCTGTCACTGCTTTGTATCAGACGATTATAATTTAATTTTAGGTTTTGCTTTTTCATAGTACCCAACTCCATAGCAACAGCCTGCTGTTTGTGTGAGCTCTGTTCGTTGATCTTAAACACAGTGTTACATTTTTAACTGGTGTTTTTTAATCAAAGACCAACACTGAAGGTTGGTTGTACTCGGTGACTAGTATGGTTAGCATCTCATTGATGAGCCGGTGACACGGGCCAGTGTTGCAACAAGGCTGACAGGCTTTGGTGATTGTTGACACACTTGAGGTTCAGCTTCTGCAGTATTAGAATAATTGTTAGGTCATCCTTGAACAGTGGAAGTGTGTATTCTAAAACTCATCTCTAGTGATGATTCAAATAAAGTATTATTTGCAGCAGAGTGGTAGTCATTCTGGGGAAGTAAGAAGTCTGTTCACAATAGGTTGTTTTGTGAAGCTGCCTGTGTTAATAAACAAACAAGGACCGATGGGATGAAGAAATGCTAATGTTCATGTGAGAGCTAATTTTAGTTTCTAGAAACGAGAATAAAAAAGATCTTGCCTGTGTTCAGGATTTTTAGTGTCCCAGGGTGCTAATGTGACCTAGATGTTTAAGTAGTGAAGTTGGGTGACTAGACTTTGCCCTACAAAGGATTTCCAATACTTGGACTAAAATGTCTGCCTTAGGACTGAAAAATGAAAGTCGGTTTTGTTAATAGAATCTAAGAATCAGTTTTCATAGGTTTCTGTTTATTTCCTTCGTTGGTCTTCTCCCTGCTTCATATGCAATGTTTTTTTGGTGACTATAGTTCCTCTTTAATAAGTCATGTGCTATAGTTATTAGAATGAGAGAGTATGTCTGTGTGTCCAGGGGTCTTGTTTTAGATAGTCTTGATCTATATGTACTCTGGCTGCTTGGTATGCACTGTGTAGACATGGATGGCCCTGAACTTGGAAAGATCTTTCTCCTTCTGCCTCTTAATTGTTGAGATAGCAGATATATGCTTCCATGCCTGACCACAGACTTTATTTTTGTACAACTGAGGGTCAAACCCAGGGTTCCTGTGCACACTAGGTAAACACTGTACCACTGAGCTATATTCCTAACCCTGCATATTTGTAGTGGGGGTGTTTTTTTATAGAGAGACAGAGAGGCGCTTTTCAATAACTTGAAAATTTTTGAAATTATGTATAATTATATCACATCTCATTTCGACTCATTTCCCTCTCCTATGCACCCCTTGCTCTCAAATTCATGCGCTCGCTCTCTCTCTCTCTCTCTCTCTCTCTCTCTCTCTCTCTCTTTCTTTTTCTCGAGACAGAGTTTCTCTGTGTAGCTTTGGATCCTGTCGTAGAACTCACTTTGTAGACCAGGCTGGCCTCGAACTCACAGAGATCCTCCTGTTTCTGCCTCCCGAGTTCTGGGATTAAAGGTGTGCACTGCTGCTGCCCACCTGATTTCTTTCTCTAATTGTTACTATTGGTGATGGTAGTGGTGTTGGTGTTGGTGTGTGTGTGTGTCAGTGTCTGTCCTGGAACTCACATTGTATACCAGGCTGACCTCAAACTCACAGATATCTGCTTGTCTCTGCCTCCTGAGTGCTGGGATTAAAGGCACACACCACTATGTTGTGCCTAGCATTTGTTTTTGTTTTTGTTTTTGTTTTTTTTGAGACAGGGTTTTGCTGTAACCCTTCCTGACTGTCCTAGAACTGGCTCTACAGACCAGGTTGGCCTTGAACTCTCAGAGATGGCTGCCACTGTCTCCCGATTGCTGGGATTAAATACACCTTCTAGACCACTTAATGAAAAAAAATTACAGATATGCATCATTCTTAGATAATGTAATGGCACTATTGCATGTATAAAAGAGAAAAGTTGGGAAGATGATCTGTAAGTAAAATACTTGCTATGAAAGCATGATGACTGTTTTAGTTAGGATTTCTATTGCTGTGAAGAGAAACCATGACCATTGCAACTGATATAAAGGAAAACATTTAGTTGGGGCTCACTTAACAGTTCATAGGTTCCGTCCATTGTCCTCATGGTGGAATACAGTAGCATGCAGGCAAACGTGATGCTGGAGAAGTAGCTGAGAGTCCTACATCTTACAGGCAGCAGAAAGTGGTCTGAGCAAAGCTTGGGCAAAGGAAGCCTCAAAGCCCACCCCCACAGTGACACACTTCTTCAAACAAGGCCACACTTACTCCATCAAAGCTCCTAATATTGCCACTCCCTTTGGGGGCCATTTCCTTTCAAACCACCATAGTGACCTCAGTTTGTTCCCTAAATGCCTGGTGCAGTGGTGTATTCCTATAATCCCCCTGCCTGAAAAGCAGGGAGGAGGATTCCCTGGGGTTTGAACTCTAGGTTCAGGGCCAACCTGGAAGAGTGGTGGCCATCTGGCAAATGCTCTTTCATCAGAACATGGTCCCTGAATGGCTGCTGAGTTGTGAATGATTTGTTACTGTCCACAGGTATAAACACCTTGTGTCATTTGTTTAGTTCATATTTCTTTCCCTGAATTGTTATTTTGAAAGCTGTTCCTAGTAAATTCCCTGGATTTTCACAGCTACATGGCAGAATAACATTGAGAAGTTGTAGGGCAGCAATTAAGTTATGGCTCCTCACTTGAGAAAACACTTTCAAATTTTGTTTTAGAAAGTGTTTCTAGGTTATTAGATTTTTTTTAATTTTGACAATTTTACATTTGAAAATGTAAGATTTACATGTAGTATGTTGGGATATTAGGTTAGTATGTTGGGATATTAGGTCAGCCAGTGTATTGGAATAGGATAAAAATATTTAGTGTCTTACTTGAGTATGGATTTCTTCAATGTGTAAGACTGACTTTTATGCTGGGCGGTGGTGGTGCATGCTTTTAATCCTAGCACTTGGGAGGCAGAGGCAGGCAGATCTCTGTGAGTTCGAGACTAGCCTGGTCTACAAGAGCTAGTTCTAGGACAGGCTCAAAAGCTGCACAGAGAAACCCTACCGAGGTTTCTGAGTTGATGACAGAAACTAGTTCCTCTCTTCAGTGACAATCTGCCACTGAAGAAGATGGGGTTAGCCCACCCTTTTAATAAACTTGATTGGTTCCACAGGAGTAAAATACAATATTTCGTTTAGTATTAGTGTTTTTTTTGGGGGGGGTTGATTTTATTTTTATGTACTCTGGCTGTGCTCTGGAACCCTGTATGTAGACCAGGCTGTCCTCAAACCAAAAAGAACTGCCTGCTTCTGCTTCCCAAGTGGGGAGATTATAAAGGTGTGTACCACCACACCTGGCAATTACTGAGTTTTTTTTGGGGGGGGGTTCAAGACAGCGTTTCTCTGTGTAGCCCTGTAGACCAGGCACAGAGATGTGCCTGCCTCTGCCTCCTGAGTGCTGGGACTAAAGGCATGCGCCACCACCTCCTGGCTACATTTTTATGCTGGCTTCCCCCCTTCCACCAATATTTGAGTGAGGTGTTAAAGAATTGTGTTAGGGTCAGTGATGTTGGTGATGGTAAAAAAAAACCTGCCAGCTCTTGATACATTTAGTATCAAGAGCTGTGTTCTTTCAGAGACTGTCACATGGCAGGAGAGGAATTGAAACAGAGGCACTCTTTACCCCTGTGCTGTGCCGTGCTGTGCTGCATGTGTGGATGCCGCAATTCTGGTGGATAACTCTACTGCTATCCATAGACTCTGCAGGTGTTAAGCACCCCTGTGTGTCCCCTATTGTGCGAATGTTGAATGTTAGGAAATTCAAATAGACATTGGGTCCCTGCTTGATATGGCAAAGGAGCAGTACAGCACAGTGGTCCACGCTAATCAGTCTGTCTTTTTCTCTACTCCTCAGTCTTAATTTCAAAGACCCTGAAGCAGTCAGAGCTCTGACTTGTACGCTCCTAAGAGAAGACTTTGGACTTTCTATTGATATTCCTTTAGAGAGACTAATTCCCACAGTTCCCTTGAGACTCAACTATATTCATTGGGTAGAAGATCTGATTGGTCACCAGGCTTCTGACAAAAGTACTCTCCGAAGAGGAATTGACATAGGTAAGTTTAGGTTTCTTACTTTTGGGGGCTAAAAGTAAGTTTCATAGGTTTTTGCATTGTCAGACTCTTTCTAAGCTCTTCTAGTAATTGTTGTGAAAGCAGCTTGTATTTGCTGCACATGGACATTTCTGTCTTTGGTTTCTCTTCAGGAGGGATGCCCATGTCAGTTAAGGAGCAAGGGGGTAAGAGAAGTGTGTCTACTTAGCTTTCAAATTTCTACCTTAATGTCTTTGTTTGTTGGGATTGCCTACTCTGTTACTAAACAATTCTTTAGTATTATTTTATTTATTTTTTCAGCAGGGCTTCTCTGTGTCACTCTGGTTGTCCTGGAACTAGCTGTATAGACCAGGTTGGCTTCAAACTCAGAGATCCTCCTGCCTCTGCTTCCTGAGTGCTGGGATTAGAGGCATGAGCCTTTTTTCTTTGTTTTCCACACTGTCTTTTAGACCCTCAGGAATTTGTTATGTTATTTGCTGTGCCTCAAACTTCTCCCATCTTTATCCTGTTTGTCTCCATTTATACTATACTTGTCAACTCAAGCCTGCTTTTTCTGTAAAAGCTTTCTCTGACCTTGCAACCTATGAAAAGTTACTTTCTTGGTTATGTTTGGCTAATATTTTTATTTGCTACTAGACTGCAAACTAGTTATACTCCCAAGGTCTAGTGAAGTTGTTGGATAAAGGTATTCTTTTAACGTTCAAATTCTAGGTATTTCATGTGAGCTAAGCACTGGAGGCCTGATGGAGTTCACTTAAAGCTCTTGCCTTTTGTGTTCATGGTACAAGATGGCTGATGGGTCCTGGGAAGCTAAAAGCTTGGCTTGGAAAGTGTGGTGGCAGGTATTTGTGATCTCACCACCTGGGTTGCGACAGTGGCAGGACAGGAGTTCCAGGCCAGTACTTGTCTGGATCATGCAGTGAGTCCATAAGTAGGGAGGAAGTGGAAAAAAGGGACTTTAGCCTATTTGGTGCTAATTGCATTTCAATTATGCCCCAAACCTTCTGAAGTAGCACTTGGGGATACACGAGGTTAATGGATTCTTTCTAATTAGGGTTCTATATAAATTCTTCCCCCAGACTCCATCAGTTTGATCTAATTTTATGACTATTCTTTCCATTTTTATTTATCATTATAAAGATTATTACCCACTTAAAATGTCGTTTGGTGTCTGAGGATATCAAAATGTTAGGATGCAAGTGTTTGGTCTTGAGGATTGAAGGACAATTTTAGGAGGGTAAAGGGATAGATCTTTACTTGCATTTTTTTCCCCTTTGAGAAAAAATTTAAAAGATCCCCCCTTTTTTTTCCCACTTGAGAGGTGAAAACATTCTAAATGTTTTCCAATTCTCCATAATGCCCAGGCCTAAACAATTGACTCTTGGGGAGCTGGGTATCCTCTTCCCTTTTTCTACCTCCTCAATCCCCAAGAAGGTATTTGCCTGACAGCTCCAGGGCCAGGAAGACAGTAACTGTGGCTGGCAAAGAGGTTAAGGATTGCAGCCATTAATTTGATCTGTTTCCCAGTCTGTTGAGAATAGGCTATGAGGAAGTGATCGGTGAGTGGGCTTCTCTGGGTTAGGAGCACCTCTAGATCCTGTAGAGCTACAATGGAATCAGTTTGTGGTCAGGGGAAAACAGGCTGTAGCCATTGGGGGAAATCTAGCTTTCCTTCCATTTGGGATATTCAATGTCATCTAATTGATCAAGGCTTGTCAGTGGTTGTAAAAGCAGCATTTGGGGGAGGAAGTAGAAAAGTCCAGGCTTAGGGGCTCTATATGTAAATTTATGAACAAATACTGGCAGCTGAAGCTGATTTTTTTTTTTTTTTCTTTTCTGTGAAGCATTGGTTTCTCATTATGTCTATTGAGCCTGTGCTAGGACTGGTCAATGACTGACATGACTGACATTCTGTATAACCACAGGGAGCCAGATCATGTGATGCCATGGGAATTACACATACACACACACACACACACACACACACACACACACACACAATTCCTCTGCTTTTCAAGAATGAACTATGTGTTTATTTGCATATTCTCTTTGTTTTCCTCCCTTTTCTTTGAGATAGTCTCAAACTCTTGCCTCTGCTTCACATCCCCCATACAGGTGTGTGCCACAATGCTCAGCTTACTTTGGTTTCTTTTAAGATGCTACTGTTGTGTTTTACAAATACTTTTCATTGAGGAAATTGAGTTTTGTATGGGACATAAAGACTTTTATAAGCAAATTAAAATTTTATATAATATTTTGGCCACTTTAGGTTAATAAACTGTGTTTTCCTGGGCTTCCAGTTGTCCACTCTTCATTTTACACACAGCATATAAGAGTAGGGCAGGAAGGTTTCTGCCCTCCAGGAAGTTTGTGCTTAGAAGGTAAGAATCACAAGTGAAAAGGAGCAAGCCAAGGAGCCGCAGGATATCCTCACTTGTAGTTAAACTGTGGAGACTTGAAAGAATTCTTAGGAAGAAAAGGGTTTTAGTGTTCTCACCTTCACCTCTCATACGTAGGGTGTGCTTGTATTTTTATTTAATAGGTACTGGGGCGTCCTGCATCTATCCCTTACTTGGAGCAACCTTAAATGGCTGGTATTTCCTGGCAACAGAAGTGGATGATATGTGCTTCAATTATGCCAAGAAAAATGTGGAACAGAATAACCTATCTGATCTCATTAAAGGTTGGTTTTTCTGAATAAGCAGTACCTCAAGCTTTGTTTATTAAAACTTCTCTAATTTAAAATGTCTTATTGCCTTCTGTGGGTTTTTTGTTTTGAGATAGAGTATCTCCCTTTAGCTCTGGTTGCTCTGGAAATCACTTTGTAGACCAGGTTGACCTCGAACTCAGAGATCCTACTACCTCTTCCTACTGAGTGCTGTGATTAAAGATGAGTACCACCATGCTTGTCTTCTTTTCTTAAATGTATAGACTCTACAATTTAAATAATCTGGTGTGTTGTAATTGGTTTTGATGCCAGATTTAACTCAGAAGGAATATAATAAGTATAGTTGATCCTCATTTCTGTTTTGTGGATTTGTCTTCTGTCTTGGTTCCTGTTCTATTGCTGTGATGACATGATGACCAAGGCAGCTTATGGAATGAAGAATTTATTTGGATGTACAGTTTCAGAAGGTTAGACTTAGCCGGACAGTGGTGGTACACTTCTTTAATCCCAGCACTTGGGAGGCAGAGTCAGGTGTGAAACCAGCCTGGTCTACAAGAACTAGGTCCAGGACAGCCTCCAAAGCCACAGAGAAACTCTGCCTCGAAAAAACCAAAAAAAAAAAAAAAAAGAAGAAGAAGAAGAAGGTTGGACTTGGACTTCACAACCTTCATGGTGGCAGGTAGGCATGGTACTGGAGCCAAAACATCTGCAATGGTTGGTTTAAGTCTTTTGAAACCTCAAAGCACACCCCACCTTCTCCAAGGCCACATCTCTTAATTCTTGTGTGTGTGGGAGGCCATTCCCATTCAAAATATCACACCTTCTTATTTAGTTAAGTAAATTCTTTTCTTCCCCCAGTGGATAATTCTTGAAATGTGTTATGTTGATGCTGGGCAATGGTGGCACATACTTTTAACCCCAACATTCAGGAGGCAGAGGCAGAGGCAGCTGGAACTCTTAAGTCAGAGACCAGCCTGGTCTCCAGAGGGAGTTCCAGGACAGCCAGAACTACACAAAGAAGCCTTGTCTTTAAAAACAAACAAAACAAAACAAAAACATTTGCTATGTTGAGGCTGGAGAGATGGCTTAGGGCTTGAGAGTGCTTACTCTTTCTAGCACTCAGATGGTAGTTACTCTTAATTTCTGGGGATCTGATGTGTCTGGCTTCTGAGGGCAACAGGCGTGTTCATGGTGTGCATACATACACCTAAACATGTATTTTTGCAAAGGAGCATTCTCAGATTGATAGTTATGAGATCAAAATATTGATCACCTCTAAAAAGCATTGGAGATGTTTTAGGACCCACAGTATCACATACTCATCCAAGGTTTTTATGTAAAAATGAATAAGCATAGCATATCCATTTCTACTGCAAATTTCTTTTCACCATCAGTGAATGGAAAAATTATATTTATGCCAAATAGTTGCTTTATGCTTGTTTGATTTTTGTGCCTGTGACTTGTTTATTTCATATAGGGGCTTTTGTAGGCTGGCTGGTCTTAAACTCTGTGTAGCCTAGCATGACCTTTAACTTGTTGATCTTGCCTCTACTTTCCAAATGCTGGGATTGGGGATTGATACTAGGGCTTACTGCGTGCTAAGCAATCTCTACGAACTGAGCTACACTTCCACTACCATTTAATTTTTTTCCCTTTTTTGAGACAGGGTGTCTTTGTATTCCAGTCTGGCCTTAAACTCATTGTGTGGCTGAAGATGACCTGAAACTCCAGAATTATGGACTTGGACTATCATGTCTACTTACATACTTGTTTTATAGACCTGTATACCTGGAATCACATAAAAATTTCTCAGGTGCTGGGCAATGGTGGCTCACACCTTTAATCCCAGCAATTGGGAGGCAGAGGCAGGCGGATCTCTTGAGTTCAAGGCCAGCCTGGTCTATAGAGCTAGTTCCAGGAAAGCCAGGGCTGTTGCACAGAGAAAGAATCCCTGTCTTGAAAAACCAACAAAACAGGGGCTGGAGAGATGGCTCAGTAGTTAAGAGCACTGACTGTTCTTCCAGAGGTCCTGAGTTCAATTCCCAGCAACCACATGGAGGCTCACAACCACCTTGAATGAAATCTGGTGTCCTCTGCTGGCATGCAGGCAGAAGACTGTATACATATAAATAAATAAATATTTTTTTAAAAAAAAAAACAACAAAACAAAAGAAATCTCAGGCAAAGGGGGTTGTGAGTACTAAAGACCCTCTGGTTTAGGTTTCATCAAGGCTAGTGATGACACTGGGCAAGTTTCATATGACTTTTTCAAACAGCAACAGCTCTGTCTATGGCTGTGCCTTCAGAGCTGAGGCAACTAATAATGATAGTTTTTTTTTTTGTTGTTTGTTTTGTTTTTTTTTTTTTTTGAGACAGATTTTCTCTGTGTAGCTTTGTAGACCAGACTGGCCTCCTGTTTCTGCTTTCTGAGTGCTGGGATTAAAGGTGTGCGCCACCACTGCCTCTTCTGATAGTTTTATAGTTTCTTTTTATTGTTTTTGTTTTGTTTTGTTTTGTTTTTTGTTTTTCGAGACAGGGTTTCTCTTTGGCTTTGGAGGCTGTCCTGGAACTGGCTCTTGTAGACCAGGCTGCTTTCAAACTCACTCACAGAGATCCACCTGCCTCTGCCTCCCGAGTGTTGGGATTAAAGGCGTGCGCCACCAACGACCAGCGCTAGTTTTATAGTTTCTTAATGCATCTGTGGAACAGTGTTGGGATGATTGGTGCTAAGTTCTTTTGCTCAGAGCAGCTAGGGAGAGTCCTGGCCTCTTTGGTCATTTGCTGCAAAAGGAACATCAGGAGGAGTACTTACAATGTAAATTTAAGGTAGACTTGGTAGCACAGGTTATCTTAGCTCCTCGGGAGACTGAGAGAATCTAAAACTGAAGGTTCACCTGGTCTATAAAGCAAGTTCAAGACCAGTCTGTACACTCGGTGAGAATCTGCCCCCAAATAAAAAATTTCAAAAAGGGCTGGGGATTTATTTCATTGGCACAGCACTTGTCTCATATTTCTATCTCAGTCCTGCCTCAGGCTTCTGAGTAGGGATTGCAGCCATGAATGCTACCTAAACTTTAGGCTCAGTTTGTTAATAGCCAAAATTTGAAAGTCGTGTTTGTTTGTTTTTGTCTTATTTTTTCATTCATGGTTCATTTGTGTGTTAGGAAGGGTGGGGACACAGCTGAAACTGCATGTGTGAAGAGGTCAAAGAACTACTTTTGGGAGTGGGTCCTCTCTTTTCACTGTAGGGATGGGTGAGTCCCCAGTTTGTGCTTCCAGCTGGGTTAACAGGGCTGTAGTCTGCCCTCATGGTGTTTTTGTTTTGAACAAGTATCGCTTTTGCTTTCTAGTGCTTCATTTGTTAAGTGCATTTTTTTTTAAAGATTTTATTTATTATGTATACAACATTCTGCTTCCATATATATATATATATATCTGCACACCAGAAGAGGGCACCAGATCTTATTGTAGATGGTTGTGAGCCACCATGTGGTTGCTGGGAATTGAACTCAGGACCTCTGAAGAGCAGTCGGTGCTCTTAACCTCTGAGCCATCTCTCCAGCCCTGTTAAGTGCATTTTTATGTTGTTTCTTAGAGACTTCACTATTTCAAATTACCCCTAAACAGTGCTGAAGTGTGTTTGTATGTGCCAGAAAGAAAATACATTTTACTTAGATGAGTTATGGTGAGTCAGCAATATATATTTTTAAATTTTTATTTAGAATGTTGTCTGTATATGGTTATTTAACCACATGTCTGTCTTTGCACCACATGTATGCCTAGTGCCCAAGGAGGCCAAAAGATGGGGTCAGATTTCCTGAAACTGGAGTTAAAGACAGTAGTGCTTTTAATTACTGAGCTATTTTTCTAGTCGTTCCCTCCCACCCCTGCCCTACACTCCTTTTTTGAGACAGTGTTTCACCGGATAGCCCTAGCTGGCCTGGAAATCACTCTGTAGACCAGGCTAATTTCAAACTCATAGATATCTGCCTTACTCTGCCTCCTGAGTGCTGGGATTAAGGGCTTGTGCTACCACACCTGACCAGCAGTGTGTATTAAGTGAATTATGTTCAAGTTAAAACACCCTGAATATGAGGTTGTGTATATCAAGTTTTCAGAGACTGTTCTAGTACTGTACTTCCCAAAGGAGTTTGTATTTGCTAGTTCAGTGTTCATGGCAACTTCATAGACTGTAGCTACCATGAATAACAAAAAAGGGCATTAATTTACTGACATTTATTTATTTACTTAGCTTACATCCGGGCTGCAGCTTGTCCTTCTGCCAAATTAGTCTCTAATTTCATTGTGTGTGAGCAGTTACATGTGTCTTTGGAAGCCTCTCAAAGTCTGCATTAGGGTATTCGTCAATCACTTTCTACTTTATTATTTAAAAAAATTTAAAAATCTTTTATGTGTGTAGATGTTGTCTCTTCCTTTGTCTCTGTGTATATCACAGTATGTGTGCAGTACCTTTAGGGCCAGAAGGTGTCAGATTCCCCTGGGACTGAAGTTTACTGGTGGTGTTAGCTGCCATGTGGGTGATCACAATACAAACCAGGTTCTCTGGAAGAGCAGCTAATGCTCTTAACCATTTAGCTATCTATCTAGTTCCTTTATCATATTTTTTGAGACAGAGTCTTACACTGAACCTGGAGCTCAATGATTCATTCATTTAGGCTGCCTGGCCTGCAAGCCCAGGGATCCTCTATCTCTGTCTCCCTATCTTTGAAGTTACAGGGGCGTACTGCCTTGGCCCAACTTTTATGTGGGTGTTAAGGGTTAAATTCAAGTCCAAATGTTTGTGTGGCAGGCACTTTACTGACTGAACCATCTCCCAAATCCCAGGTACTGATATTTTTATGGGGGAGCACCATTCTATTCTTAATTAAACTGTGCTGCTATTTTTAAAATATATAGGATTAGTTGGGTGGTGATAATGTAATCCTTTAATTCCAGCACTAGGGAGGCAGAGATAATGGGATCTCTGAGTTCTAGGCCAGCTAGTCTACATAGTGAGACTGTCTCAAAAAACAAACAAACAAACAAAAACCCACCACCACCACCACCAACAACAAAATCCTAAAAATCAAAAACCAAACCAAAACAAAAAAAGGGTTGCAATATATAATCCAGGCTGTCCTTGATTTGTCTACCCTGCTTCTGCCTGCCATGACTCCCTGTTAAATTACCTTTATTTTGGTATGTAGATATTTGCTAGAACTAGCCCAACTCCACCTTGTGATCATTTACATTTTCTGACCATTATATAATGACAAAGCTTTAAATTTTTTGAAGATTATTTATTTATTTTTAAAATTTATTTACTTAGTGTTATTACATATACAGTGTTCTGTCTGCATATTTGCCTGCACACCAGAAGAGGGCACCAGATCTCATGATAGATGGTTGTGAGCCCACCATGTGGTTGCTGGGAATTGAACTCTTTTTTTGGGGGGGGGGGACACCTGGAAGAGCAGCCCAGTGCGCCTAACCTGAGCTCTATCTCCTGTCCCTGAAGATTTATTTTATGTGAATAGGTGTTAATGCCTACATGTATGTCTGTGTACCACATGCATACCTGGTGCCTTCAGATGTCAGAAGAGGGTGTTGGCTCCTTTGGAACTGGAGTTCTGGGTGATCATGAACCACCATGTGGATGCAGGGAACTGAACATGTGTCCTGGAAGAGAAGAGTGTTGTTAACCACCCTCCAGCTCCTTATTATCAATTTTAAAATTATAATTAATTTAGTTTTAGCAATATGAACATCAGTTTATTACAGAGAAGTAGGAATTCTCAAAAGGGTGGGGTTTGTTCCAGGGGAGAAACTTTTTGTTTTATTAAGCACATTTTACTATGCCTCTTTGTATAAAAGAAATAGCACTTTTCCTACTAGTGTTAACACCTGTTGTAAAGGGGAATGTTGATAGGATCAGTGTGCTGCTTAATTCTCCATTTCTGCAATTCTGTCCCTTACTGGGAGTGGTGTGAAGGAATTTATATGCACATGCCCGTCTTCATTTTCTTCCTCAGTTGTGTATTTTGTGCACTTATTTTTAAAGTCATTACAAAATAAATAGTAACTAACAGTCCGTATTTTCTCCCCTAGTGGTAAAAGTGCCACAGAAGACACTCCTAATGGATGCGCTTAAAGAAGAGTCTGAGATAATCTATGACTTCTGCATGTGCAACCCTCCCTTTTTTGCTAATCAATTGGAAGCCCAGGTAAAGCACCTTTAAAATCATAGAACAGCTAGTAATTTTACCTCATTTTCAGAGATAAAAGCAAAAGGCAGTTTTTCTTTAGAGTCAGTATAATTTATAATGCTGTTTGGTTTGAGATATTTATGAACCTAGTACAGATGGACTTGACAGTTAAAAAAGGTAATTTATGTAGCTGAGACTTTAGGAAGAGTTTGATAAGTGAGTTCATAGTATCATAAAGGCTGAAGCTTTTGTTTCTTCCTTGCTCTTGTCTCTGGCTGGCCCTCTGCTGTCTTTTCTTAGGCTCGTTTGGTTGTGGTTAAACAGTACTTAGGGGGAGAAGAGAGGGTGAAGAGAGAGCACTTTCTTCCCTAAACCTTGAACTTAAAACCATTTTTAAATGTTAGTTTATTATTTATTTTATGTGTATGAGTTTTTTTCTTTTTTGTTTGTGCACCACATGTGTGCCTCATGCCTTCAGAGGCTAGTCCCAGGATCGTATGGTTGTGAGCCACCATGTAGGTGCTGGGATTGGAGTTGGAGTACAAGTCTTCTGGAAGAGCATCCAGTGTTCTCAAACAATGAGCCATCTCATACCTTGAATTTTTAAAATTGAGCCAAGGTAGGTTCCAGTTTTTGCTGGACTGAGTTTATCAGTCTAGGGACAAAAGAAAAAAAGAAAGAAAAAAAAACACCTTTTTTTTTTTTTTCTTTTTGGTCATTTGGTAGTAAATAAATGGCTACATGGTGAAAAAAATGTATTTGCTTTTAGATATTGAACAAAATTGGATAAAACCAACTGATGTATGGAGGCCTGTATAGTTCCTAGTACATGGGAGAGTGAGGAAAGAGGATTGCCAAGTTTCAGACTAGACTGAACTTGGAGTAAATTTAAAACTGTCTGAAGCAATTTAGTGAGACCCTATCTCAAAATTTAAGAAAGAGGGTTAGGAATATATCTGTGATAGTGTTAGCTTAGTATGTGAAAGGCCCTAATTTCAAATATTAGCACTATAACAGCCAAAACATAATGTGTTGAAAAATTCAGCCTGGCTGTGGTGGCGCACACCTTTAAATCCCAGCAGAGGCAGGTGGATCTCTGTGAGTTCAAGGCCAGCCTGGTCTACAGAATGAGTTCCAGGACAACCAGAGCTACACAGAGAAACCTTGTCTCAAAACAAACAAAAAATTTCAATACAGGGCATTGTGAGTTGGCTTAGCAGTTCAGAGCACTTACTGTGCTTTTGGAGGACCTTGGTTTGGTTCCTAGCACCCACAGGCAGCTCACAACCTATTTGTAACTTCAGTTCCAGGGAATCTGTCACCTTCTGGACTTCTTGGGGACCAGTAGTATATATATGCATGCAAACACTCATGCACATAAAATTTTAAGTTATTGTTGTTGTTATTGTAGACAGGGTCTCAGCATGTAGGCTGGTCTGGAACTCACAGCAGCTTCTTCCTCTGAAATACTGGTCTTAAAGGTGTACACTGTCATGCTCAGCTCAAAAATGAATGCATTCTCAAGAATAATTTTTTGACAAAGTGGAGAAAATTTGAGCAAAAATTTATTAGAAATACTAACATTTCCTAGTTAGAAAATAAAGTGAAGTACATTTGAAATAATTAAAAATTTAGCTTTTCTGTAAGTTTTTGAAGAAAGGTAACCATACCCTGTAATAAGATTTATTAAAAGTGTTGTTTCTCTACATTCAAAGAATATATAGATAAGAGCTTTAGGAAGAATTGATGACACAGTACTGAGAGCAGCTGATGATTCTTACCTGCTGAACCACGTTTTCAGCCCCTAAATGTCTTCTTAGTCTACTGTCTTCTTAAATTTGAGGCCGGTGTTAATAAGTTGCCCCTCTGGCCTGCCAGACAATTTTCTACATTGACAGCTGCTCATGTTCCAGCCACAGTGTGCGATCCCTCAGCACTTCTTGACATTTGCAGCTTTTGAATGCCACCCTAATGGGTGTGGAGTGGTGTCCCCCTGATGGCTAGCTGTGCTGAGCATCTTTTCATGTGCTCATCTTCATGGAATAATGCCATTCAGATACCTCTTCCCTACTCCCTTCCAAAGTGGAGGGTCTCTAATTAGACATTCACAGCTCTTGCTAAACTCTCTACACTGACCTGATTAGTAACCCTGTACTCTTTGTCCACTTTTGTTTGTTTTGCAACAAAATGGCTTTTGAAACTAGGGCCGTGCACATACTGGGCAACCATTGTGCCACTAAGCTTATGCCCCCACCCTTCTCTTTGTACGTTTTAAAATTAGGTTATTTTCTTTCTATTAAGTTTTCTTTAAACATCCTAGATACAAGTCTCTTGAATTACAATGATTTGCAAACATTTTTCATGTTCTGTCATTTGTCTTCAATTTATTTATTTTTGTATGCTTGTTTTTCTATGTAGCCTAGGCTGGCCTTGAACTCAGTGATCTGCCTGCCTCTGCCTCCTGAGTGCTGGGATTAAAGGCGTGCACCACCACCACCACCACCACCTGGTTTGTCTTCCGTTTTTGATGGTATCCTTTACAGTGAAGCTGCTTTTAGTTTTGATATAATACAATTTATGTATTTTGTGTTGTTCTTATGCTTTTTGGTGTTGTATCTAAGAAACCATTGGCTAATCCAAGTTAATGAAAATTTACTTTTATGTTTTCTTCTTGGGAGTTTATAGTTTTAGATCTTACATTTTATGTCATTGATGCATTTAAGTTAATTTTTTCATATGAAATGAGGTAAGGATGGATTAAATACTTAAATATGAAAAACAGAACCATAAAAGTATTAGAAGAAAACATAAGTAAATATTAATTTAATCTTTGGGTAGATTTCCTGGCCATGGTATCAAGACAAAGCATAAAGGAAAAGCAACAGATTGGGCTATATGAAAGGTAAATGTTTTTATATTTAATCCCCAGGGCCTTGTGCATGCTAGGCAAGTGCTTTATCACCAAACTACAGCCCCAGCTGGCTGTGTGACCTTATAAATCTTCTCTGTAGCACAATAATAGCTAAATTGCATTCAAATACCATGGCTTTTGTTGTTGTTGTTCAGGGTGTAAACTCTCGGAATTCTCGAAGACCTCCACCTAGTTCCGTAAATACAGGAGGCATCACAGAAATCATGGCAGAAGGAGGTGAACTAGAATTTGTCAAAAGGATAATCCATGACAGTTTACAACTTAAAAAAAGATTAAGGTAGGTAGAAATATTTGCTTTATGTTATCCTAAAGAAACTATGTCACTTTAAGGAAAAATAAACACTGGGACTGAAAAATAACTAGGTAATATCCAAAAGACCGCACAGATAAAGGGAGGTAAATCCCAGATGATTGTATTGCTCCCATTAGTATGGTCTTGTGATGGAACAAAACTGACTCAAATATGGCTTTTGATTAGAAAACAGATGGGTTCAAATCTGTACCGTGGTCCAGAATCAATTTGTTGCCTAGTCCTTGAAGCAATTGAGGTTCTTGGACTCAGTTTCCTAAACAGTGACAGATGTGAGGACATTGAGCTGTCAGGAATTTAATGAAGAGAAACAGATTACCAACCATCTCCAGAGATGGGTTAGGGCTGTTCTGTTTTAAAAGCTAATTATTTTGGACAACACACCTGTCGTTAAGCAGTGTCGGGCACTCAGATAGAGTGGCTTGTCTCCTGTCGCTTTGCACCCTGCCACATGTTGTTGATATGGTGGATTATGTGGGAGTTAAATGCTGAAAGGAGCTCCTTGTCCAAGGATTTGTGAAATGAGAAAGTGTTTATTTTTATTCATTTCTTTATTTTTGTGTGTGGGAAAAACATAATAAAATTTACTACCCAATATTTTGGAAGGTTTATTGAGGGAAGAGGGCATGTGGAGAGAGTGAACTCAAGGCCTCAGCTTGACAGGCACACACAACACTAAGATACATCTCATCCTCTTTTTTTTTTTAATGTATAGGGGTGTTTTACCTGCACATGTATGTATGTGTAACATGTGAGTGTGTGGTGCCTGAGGGGGCTAGAAGAGGATGTTGGATTCCCTTGGAGTAGAGTTATAAATGGTTGTGAGACTTCATGTGGGTTCTGGGAATCAAACCCTAGTTCTCTGGAAGAGCAGCCAGTGTGGTCAAACACTGTACCATCAGATTAACAAGTTTTGTTTTGGTTTTTGGTTTTTGGTTTTTTGAGACAGGGTTTCTCCATGGCTTTGGAAGCTGTCCTGGAACAGGCTGTTGTAGACCAGGCTGGTCTTGATCTCACAGAGATCTGCCTGCCTCTGCCTCCCAAGCGCTGGGATTAAAGGTGAGCGCCACTACCGCCCAGCCAGATTAACAAATTTTAAAGTCTATAGTTAAAGAGTTTTATGGACATTCGTATTGCTGTGCAACTACTCTCCAGACCTCTTACTGTTTTTGTTTTTCATTTTGTTTGTTTTGAAACAGGGTCTCTCTATATAGCCCTGGGTATCCTAGAACTTATTCTGTAGATCAGCCCAGCATCAGTCAAACTCACAGAGATACAGCTGCCTCTGCCACCCAAATGCTGTGGTCAAAGTCACATGCCACCATGCAGGGCCAGAACCCTTGGTTTTCCAAAGTGGCAGTTGTTAAAACAGCTCCCTGTTACTTTTCTGTCTTGCAGCCACTATCTTCTGACTTTGGGATTTGACTTCTATGAATACTGAATCTATGTGAAGCTATACATTAGTTGTGATTTTGTAATTGTCTGTCTTCATTTAGAATATTTCATGCTTCATCTATGTTGTAACATGTGTTATAGTTCTCTTCCTTTTGTGAAAAAGCAAATATTTTTCTGTTTTGGGTTTTTTGTTGTTGTTGTTGTTGTTGTTGTGTTCTGTTTGTTTGCGACAAGGTCTTGATATAGATCCCGACTGGTACTTTCTGTGTAGCTCAGGCTGGCCTGACATGTGGTATTCTTTCTGTTTCTGCTTCCTAGGATTATAGGTGTGAATCACCATAACTGATTTAATATCCTATTATATGTATAACCCGCATTTTATTTATTCAATTATCTCATGGTAACTTTTAAAAATCCTTTGGCACTTGAGTGAGGCAGTATGAGTATGGGTGTACAAATACTTTTTCAAGATCCTGTTTTAAATTCTGTTGGTTATTTATCCAGAGGTGGAGTTACTAGGTAGGAAATAATTTTTTTCCCTTTGTATCTGTGTCTAAAGCTGCTTAATTTAGCCAGGTACAAAGCTATACCTGATATCATAGAACTTACATAGGCAGGCAGGCAGGAGGGTTGTGGGTCAAGGCCAGACTGGTCTATATGACAGATTTTGTCTTTAAACATGATGCTTAGTTTAGCAAATTCCAAATCAGCAAGTATTCTGATTTGGTGGTGTGACCTTATATAAGTGCTATGGAAAGCAGTTTGAGGAGTCTGTAGATAGATGTTTTAACGATTAAGAGGACTTAGCTGTGTAGTAATGAGGGCCAGAGCTCTTGTCCCAGAGCCCACATAACGAACTGGACATCTAGACCACACCTGCAACTCCAGCTAAGAGGGGCACAGAGAGACAGAAGAGTCACAGTGGGTTGTGGGATTATAGCCTAGCAAGAAAATACTGCCTCCTCCCACTGCCCCCCCCCCCCCATGTTCAGGGAGAGAGCCTGCTTCAAAGCAATAGGTGGAATATGATAGGGGACACCTGGTACTCTCTTCTGGCTTCTTCATATGTAGATAAGAACCCCCCCCAACTCACATAAATACATATACAAATAAATCTTAAAAAACCAAACAAAAAAGAGGAAAATAGCTTGATTATTGAGGTCTGTCTCTCAGAAAAGTTAAAGATTACAGAATGCTGGGATTAAAGGCGTGTGCCACCAATGCCTTGCTCAGATGAAAAACCAGTCTTTTAAACCAAGTGTTGGTGGCACACACCTTTAATCCCAAGGGAGGGGGGGCAGGAAGATATGTGTGAGTTTGAGGCCAGCCTGGTCTACAGAGCAAGTTCCAGGACAACCTCCAAAGCAATACAGAGAAACCCTGTCTCAAAAAACAAAAAGCCCCAGTATTTTAGCTAGGTTTGGTTACATGCCTTGTAATCCCAGCATTTGGGAATTAGAGACAAGAGGATCAGGGGTTCAAGGCCAGCCTTGGCTACATGAGATTCTGTCTCAAAAACGAAAGGAAGGAAGAAAAAAGAAAAACCAACTATCTCCAATCATCCATACCATTATCTGTTTTTATTTTTTTCTTGGATTGGAGAAATGGTTTAGTGGTTAAAGCACTTTTCCCTCTTTTAGAGGATTCAGGATCAGTTCCTAACACCCACCTGGTGGCTCATAACCATCTGTAACTTCAATTTCAGGAGTCCCAACGGCCTCTTCTGACCTCAGAAGGCATCAGGCATGCACATGACGTGCATTAACATACATGCATTCAAAACACTCATGAACCTAAGAGATCTTTTAAAAATTTAATTGATTTATTTATGTTTTGCACAGAAACTCGCAAGGCTTAGTAACAGTGTAGTTCACTGCTGCTGTATTTTGGTTAGGTGAGGAACTTCAAGGGCAAAATTGTACAATTTGGTTTCACTTTAAGGCAGATTCTTTGATTTAAAAGTGTAATTTCACACTTCCACTATCTCATTGGCCTATGCTGCAGTTACATTTCTAAATAGATCACAATTGCACTGTGTAACCATCCTGTGCTACATGAGATTGCAGGGGGATATTGTAAAAGTGTATTTTTAGCCATGACAGTTTAGGATTTGTCAGTTGAAATGATGAATGTTTTGAGATGAAGCGGACTGTTCTGCTGCAGCCTTGGTGACTGGAGGTCTTTGTTCTAGCAGTCTATTTATAGGCAGTAAGGTGTTGGGCTCGTAGCCATTTTCACCCCAAGCCGCTCCTTGTAACTTGCTTTTCTGCATTATAACTTAAATTTAAAAATTGGCTTAAAGAAATTTCTAAATTAACCTTTTCCCACTGAAATGAGACAAAGTTCCTCAAATTTGTTATTGTTGAATTTTCCATGGGTCAGTCTTTATAATGACAATGTAATTGGTGATCTTTCAAATAATTGATTGCTGAGCTGGGTCAGAATAAACATGAGGCTATGATACCTCGTTTTTCGAGAATGCATGTCCCAAATGACATATATTAGGGCATTCGACCTAGTTCAAGCCTACTTTGGGGCAATTCAAATAAAAATTGTTTCTTACAAAGTAGAGTTCTAATGACTTAAGTCCGTAAACTAGGGACATTAGAAAGAGCATCATTTTGTAGTTGTCATAGTAATAATTGATTTGTGGGAAAAATCAGCGGAGGGAAATTTGAAGAACTGGATATTGGCTGGGCTGCAGCTCAGTGATACAGTGTGGGGGCAGTATATTTGTACTCTGGCTTTGATCTCAAGCATTGAAAAACAGTAAAACACAGGGTATTTGCATAGTTTCAGAGTATCTCTGCATTCAGAGGGGACTGTGGAAAATTTTAAGTGGAGAAGCCAGGAGGACTGCTCCCACCCCATGAGCTCCTGTTCTAGAAGGACATAGGAGAACCTCTGTGTCCTTCACAACAAAAATAGGTTCTCAGAGTCTAACTCACATCCTAACATGAAGGTAAAAGATGATCAAGGAACAGTTCCAGACTGAGGAAACTAAAGAGACATGACAGATAACTGAAATGAACAACCCCACACTGGAGTGTATATCCAGGGGAAATTAGGATAGTTGTGAAAGTAAGTATGGACTGTATTCCATTAGAGATCATAATACCGTGTGAAAGTTACATTTTCTCCAATTTTGGTAATAGTTCAGTGTTGTTGCCAAAAGGAACGTTCTTTGTTTTGTTTATTTGTTTATTTATTAGTTTTTCCAGGCAGGATTTCTCTGTGTAACAGCCCTAGCTGTCCTGGAATTTGCTCTGTAGACCAGGCTGGTCTCAAACTCATAGAGAACTACCTGCCTCTGTCTTCTGGATACTGAGATTAAAGACATGTGTTACCACCGCCCAGCTAAAAGGAAGATTCTTGATTGTAAAGTGTCCGTGCCAAAATATTAGGGTTCAGGAAGTTTCATGACTACCTTCCAAATAGTTTAGAAAACATGGGGGAACTTGTTAATTGGTAAATCTGGGTGAAGGGTATAGGAGAGTCATTTGTATTAATCTTGCAAGTCTTACAGGCTAGAAATTATTTCAAAAAAAATTCTTGAAATTAGCATCTCAGAGGAATTTTGAAATGCTGTAATGAGTAGATTACCACTTTCATGATTAAAATACTGTAATGGGTTCACAGTCTCTTGGGTAACTAGATCTTCCTTTGTTCCTTTTTGTTCTACTTGCATTTTGATTAGTTGTCACAGGGTATCTCTTGAGATTGCAGCCAGCATTTATCAGTTAGTCACATGAGCATAGGAAGCTAGAAACAAGGTGGGGTGGTTGTATTTGTCATTGAGACGGTTTTCATGCATCAGGCCAGCCTTTAAAATCACCGTTTAATGTAGGATTCTTTTTAATTTCTGAGCCTTCTACCTCTACCTCACAAAGGTATGCACCCTTTTGTTCAGGGTGTTGTGCATTCTAGGCAAGAAACCCCACCCTCACCCCCGCCCCCGTCTCCTTTTTTTGAGATAGTCTCAGGTAGTCCATCTATGGGTTTGAGACTGACTTGACTCTGATGTTCCCTTCCTAAGTGCTGGGGTTATAGGTTTGCATTACCAGACACAGCCAGTACATCTTTAAATGTACTTAACAACAGAAGTACTTGGATCGAGAGGAGTTTTGAAATCATTTTTTTTGGGGGGGGGGTATCTCAAAACAGGGTTTCTCTGTAAAGCCTTAGTGTCCTGTCACTTTGTAGAGAGATCCACCTGCCTCTGCCTCCTGAATGCTGGGATTAAGGGGATGTACCACCACTACCTGGCAGATTTTGGTTTCTTAATACAAGAACCTTTTGAGTTCATACCTCTAGGGTAAGTGTGATAAGTGTGATAGTTTGTGTCTTTGAAGGAATTGTTTCATCTAGTTGTGAGTTTGTATAGTGAGAGTTGTTTCGGTTGCTATGGCTGTGGTAAGTGCTTATAATCCTAGCATTAGGGGTGAGGAGGGAGCTGGAGGCAGGAAGTTCAGAAGTTCGAGGTCAGCCTAGGCTACAGAGAAAGTTGGAGACTAGCCTGAACCTAGAGTCTCAGTCTGTCTTCCCACCCAACTCCTCTCCCTCTTCCTCCTTTCTGTGGCCCCTTCCATGTTTGCAGGTTCTGTGATGTTGTTACTTCTTTCAAGCCTGATATTTTGTCTTTTTCATTGTTTCTTTGTTTTTAATCTAACCTTAATTATTTCCTTTCTTTTTGAGTTTTATTTTCCTTAGTTTGCTCTGCAGATCCTGTTTCATCGTCTCCTCATTCTCACCTCAGTCCTATCAACTCTTCAGGATTGCTGTGCTGTCTGGGCTTCCTGTCCCTGTCCTGAAGCTGGAAAGACGCTTAGAGCAGTGCACTCTGACAGCCCCAGGGCTTGCTTTCTGCACTTTCTTTCATTCTTCTTTCTTTTAGACAGTTTCATCACTTTGTAGTTCCCATGTTAACTAATCTGTGATGGGCTGAATCACAGCCCTATATTTAGGCTATATTAGTGTTAATTTGAATAATCAGAAGAAACTATTTACATCACTTTTAACCTTCAACCAGTTCACCTCATTTTCTCTTCACTCCTTCAGAGCAGGTCTTTATGTAGACCAGGCTGGCCTTGAACTCACAGAGATGCACGTGCCTCTGCCTCCTGGGTGCTGGGATTAAAGGCGTGGGTCACCACTGCCTGGCATGGAGCACTTCAAAGCATAAGGTCAGGCAGGATTCTTTGTTTTCTTAATGTGGTGCTGAGAGTATTTTCAAAGATGTATTTATTTTTGAGTTTTTTCTTGTTTGTATGTATGTACACCATGTGTGTGCAGTGCCTGTGGATGACTGAAGGAGTCAGATCCATTGGAATTAGGATTTATGGGTGGTTATAAGCTACCATTTGGGAGCTAGGGATTTGAACCTGGGTACTCTACAAGACCAGCAAGTGCTCTAAATCCATCTCTGCAGGCCCTACCTTTATGTTGTTGACTAATGTCTGCCCTAAAACTAAATGGCTTTCGTTCTGTGTATGATAGGTGGGTGCTTGTCTTCCATCTCTTTCCAAACATATAATTTTAAGCATTAGAAAACTAAGTGGTTTATTGATTTATGTACTTATTCTTCTTATTTATTTATTTATTATTTGAAGTAATGACTAGGTGTCACTATGCAGCACTGGCTGGCCTGGAACTTAATTTATAGACCAGGTTGTTCTTGAACTCACAGACATCTTCCTACCTCTGCCTCCTGAGTGCTCCCTGGCAGATTTCTTTCTTTCTTTTTTTTTTTTAATTAAATTTTTTTTTTTAATTACTTTGTGTGCACGTGTGTGTTGACATGGTGAGTGTATGGAAGTTAGAGAATAGCTGTTTTCTTTCCAACATGGGCTTCAGTTATTGAACTCTAGCATTCATTTACTGGTCCATTTTGCCAGCCAAGATTTTTTTTTTAGGTTGCCTTGGGGCTTCTTTCTCTCTTTCTTTCTTTCTTTCTTTCTTTCTTTCTTTCTTTCTTTTAATAATGTGATTCAGTACATGTCTACTTTATGCAGTTTTTTGTTACTGTTACTTGTAACTTAACTCATTATTTGTTTATTGCTGTTCTCATGAGTGATGGCAACAGTTACTCTTCATTTGTCTGATGTTTTTCCAAGGTGGTACAGCTGTATGCTGGGGAAGAAGTGCAGTCTGGCGCCACTGAAGGAAGAGCTCAGAATCCAAGGGGTAAGCTTTGATGTTGTCATTCATGTGTATCCTCTTAGGATGTAGTTTGTAGTAGGGCAGCTTTCTTTATACCAGGTAAATTTTATATTTGCATGTATTTGTGTTGTGTGTATTAATATTTTATCTGCAGGTGTGTGTGTGCCCACAAAGGTCAGAAGCTTCAGGCCAGATCCTCTTCTGGAGTTGTGGATGGTTGTAGTTTATGGGTTCTGGGAACCAAGCTGTGTCTTTTGCAGGAGTGAAAATTGTAGCCCTGTGGTGGTGGTGCATGCCTTTAATCCCAGCACTTAGGAGGCAGAGGCAGACAGATCTGTGAGTTCAAGGCCAGGCTGCCTGGTCTACAGAGCTAGTTCCAAGACAGCTAGGGCTGTTACACAGAGAAACCCTGTCTCAAAAAAAAAAAAAAAAAAAAAAAAAACAGTGAAAATTGTTCCTAATTACTGAGCTATCCCTCCAGCCCAATATTTCTTGTTAAAGATACTAAAACTACAAAGTAGTTCCTTTTTCTTTTTTGAAATCTGATGCATGAAAGGGAGATTACATAGCTGCTTATGGCCATACTTTGGTTGGCTGTTGTCTTTAAAGAAGTAAACAAAGGCTAGTGTTGTGATGTATGACTTTAATCCCCACACTCAGAAAACAGAAGCAGGTCGTTTGAGTTTGAGGCCAGCCTGGTCTCCATAGCAGGTTCCATGTAAGCTGGGGCTACATAGTGAGACGAGACCCTGCTCAAAACAATATACACAAGCTTAGGAGTGGTGAGTGCTTGCATGGCATGCTTGAGGCTCTGCATTCAACTCCAGCACTGCTAGGGCTGTCCACATCTGTAATTCTATCCCCTGGGTGGGTAGAAGCAAGAGGATTGCAAGTTGGAGGCCAATTTGGCCCAGGTAGCTAAGTCCTCTGTCAAAGAAATGAAGAAAAACTACTTAAACCATTTCACATGACTCCAGAGAAATGTTTTACGTGTTTGTAGTTTGATCTTTGAGACATCTATAAATTCTAATATTTTATGAGAGGTAAAAATTCTGTATAGAGATAATTTATTTTTTGATTATCAGACAGCAGTATATATCTTATTGTTTCTTATTGTTTGAAAATATTGTTTGTTAACTAATAAAAAACAACAATGGGAGTTAGCAGCTAGAAGTATTACCAGAAAGACTTTAGTTTGAAGGTGGGCATGGTGGCAGGAGGATCAGTAATTCAAGGTCACCCCTAGCTAACCTTGACCTTCTTGTATATCAAGCAAAACTTCCATGTGAGATACTGTGTTTACTTGTTTCAGGTTCCTAAAGTCACCTTCACAGAGTTCTGTCAAGGCCGGACAATGAGATGGGCCTTAGCTTGGAGTTTTTATGATGATGTCACAGTACCAGTAAGTAAAGACTTAATTTGGCTTCTTTAAATGCCTATCAAGTGATAAGTTTCCACAGATCATAAATAAACTAAATCTGTACTGTCCTGTTTTCCTCAAGTTTTCTCCAAATGTTTATGCCAAAATGGAAGGTGTTTGTAAACAAGATCCAATGCCATCATTGTTTAGAAGTTAGAAGTGTAGGTAGCATAGCCTATAGGAACACCTAGGCAGTGTAACTTCCAGGAGACTTGCTTCAGTCTGTTTCTCTGCTTGCCCACTCCTGTGTTCCATTGTCGTTACGATTACTTTTCTTTCTCCTGTCCTGATTTCTCATTGCACAATAGGCAAATGTACCCCAAATTATACTCCTAGCTCTGTGGCTGTATCCTTTTGAGTGTGTAACACCTAAGGATTGTGCTGGTTATTTTTTTTTAATAATTTATTAAGATTTATTTATTTTATGTATGTGGTGCTCTATCGGCATGTACACCTGCAGGCCAGAAGAGGACAGCAGATCCCACTATAGATGGCTGTGAGCCACTGTGTGGTTGCTGGGAATTGAACTCAGGACCTCTGGGAGAGCTGACAATGCTCTTACTGTTGAGCTATCTCTGCCTCCCTAGTGCTGGGATCAAAGGTGTGCGCCACCACCACCACCACCAGGCTTGTGCAGGTCTCAGGGAAAAGCTCTGGCTCGACTTTTATGATGACCACTAGAAAATGGGTGTGGTTAGCATGTGCCAGTCCCAGAACATGGAAAGTGGAGGCAGGAGAATGCCTCAAAAAGAGCTGGAACTGGGGCTAGAGAGATAGCTCAGGGGTTAGAAGCACTCACTGATTGTGCTTCCAGAGGTCCTGTGTTCAATTCCCAGCGACCACATGGTGGCTTACAACCAGATCTGTAATGAGATCTGGTGCCCTCTTCTGGCCTGCAGGCATGCAGGCAGAATACTATATACATAATAAATAAACCTTAAATAAAAATGTATTTTAAAAAAAAAGAGCTGGAACTGCAGTGGTGGCGCATGCCTTTAATCTCAGCACTTAGGAGGCAGAGGCAGGAGGATCTCTGTGAGTTCCAGACTAGTCTGGTCTCCAAGAGCAAGTTCCAGGACAGCCTCCACAGGCACAGAGAAACCCTATCTCAAACAACCAAAAAAAACCAAAAAGGGCAGTTCTAGATTTGAAGCTGAACTAATTCTTCCTCCACAACTAGATGCACTGAAGGATTGAAATTGCCCCTATACTGTGTCCTTTCCATGGAAGCCTAGACTTGCTTCTGGACTGTACAATTGAGTACCCAGAGGTTAGTGGGTAATTTGACCACTAGTTAAAAAGATGCCTCTGCTTGCCCAAGGTCACTCCTGCAAATATTATCCTATTGTTTTCTAGACTACTAGGCCCTACATAGCAGATGGTTAATATCATTAGCAGTGCCCTTAGCTATCCCTGTGCAGACACAAACAGCTGTGGGAAATTGGAGCAGCACCTGCTTCCAAGAGTGTCGTCTTAGCCTGCTGCCCACAGTTTTTGACACAGCTGGGATGTTGATAATGGGCTCTGACACCCCCACAGCAGCCCAGAGACATTCTCTTTTGCTCGGGTGAGGGAGTTATCACAGATACTAGTGTTAAAGGAGAGTGTCTGTGCAAATCAGTTTATTTTTATTTTTTTCAAAATCTGCTTACGTAGAAAAGGAGTCTCTGAGCCTCCCTCTCTCCTTTTTAGGGTATCTTACAGCCCTGTGTAGTTTCCAGCCATCAAGGAATGACTCTTGCTAAGGGCCTGAGATTCCTTCCATGCTACAGAGTATTTTTCCCTCTCCACCACTGCAGTTATCCCTAAGCTACTAATAAAGCATTCCCCAGTGTTCCATTAGATGCACTTAATCTGCTGGGGTGGGGGAGGCCCCCCCCAGCTTTTGATTTGTAGTAACCCAGCAACAGTTTCTTAGCACTGGTGCCCTTGATCAACTACTGCTTTCCCTGTGGGTAGATCCAGGTTACTCTGGAGATTTTGGATTGACCTTCCCCTTGGTTCCCCTTACCTTCTAGTTAGACTCCCCCAGTCACCGTTTTTTTGGTTTTTTTTTTTTTTTTGGAAAGCTCATCTGATGATCCTTTCTTGCTCCTTGTGGGGACCTGGCAGGAGGAGAATGCTGTTTCAGTCAAGGAAAGGAAGACAATGAATAGAGCTGGTTAAGCACAAATATTGACCGACTTCCCCACTCCCACCCCCACCCTGCCATTTATCAGGATGTGCACTTTCCTATGGCAACTTGGGTTTTCGCTTATTATGTCAGGCCTACTGACTTGTTTCTGTTGGTGCTGAAAGCTGAAGATTCTAATTCAAACAATTATAGTGCCTACACTGAACCCACTGCTGTTGTCTGGACTTATTTTAGCAACAAAAAGACAATCTCCCTAATGTTGGTAGAAATTTTGAGGCGTAGTTTCTGACTGATTGGGACATGGGGTACGTAAGGTCTCCAGGATGCTGACAAGTTACTTTTAGACCCTTTCCCCAGTCTGCAAGGTGGTGCTTCATGTCATTTTGCTTTTAGGGAGTTGATGTTGATTGAAGGGTAGAGGATGACACATAGCTCTAGTCAATTGTGTAGCCTTGGTGTGAGCACCCTCAGGGCTGAAGAGATGGCTCAGTGGTTGCACTTGCTTGTTGTTCTCTCAGAGGATTTCCAATTTGGTTGCCAGTACCCATGGGAACGCTCAGAAACCACCTGCAAGTCTAATTCCAGGGAATCCCATACCTTCTTTTGGTCTCTGTGGGCACAAGGCATGCACAAGGGGGCACATCCACACATGCAGGCTAAACATAGACTTAAAAATAAAATTATTTAAAAGCAGTCCCCACTGTTCAAGGGATTTCTCTTAGCCTGGGCTTCTCTGTCTAGCTTACTAACAGAAGGCTTTTGGGGGGCTGGATGGGGAGGGGCTCAAAATAAAAATTTGTGGGCGTTGTGTGTTTTCTGGCTACATTCCACAGATTTGTTTAAGATTTATTTTTATTTTTAATTATGTGTGTGTGAGAGAGAGAGGGTGTTTTACATAAGGGAATGTGTCCACAAAGGCCTGGAGGGTTAGATACCCAGGAGCTGGAGTTATAGGCAGCCATGAGCTTCCTGAGGTAGGGGATTGAACTCCAGTCCTCAGAAAGAAGGGTACCTGCTTTTAACTTCTAAATCATTTCTCCAGCCCTAGATTTTCTCTCTCTCCCCTCTCCCCTCTTCGCTCTCCTCTCTCCCCTCCCCCTCTCCCAATTGACAGAGAGTGTCACTATGTGGCCTTGGCCGCCCTGAAGGTCACTGTGTTGATCAGGCTGACCTCGCTTCCTGAGTGACAGCGTTAAAGGCATTCATCACCATGTTGGGTTTAGATTTTCTTTCGTACTAAAATATTCTCTTTATTGAGATTGGGGAGATGGCTCAGCAGTTAAGACCACTATTGCTCTTTCCAAGGACCTGGGTTTGGTTCCTAGCACCCACATGAGGTGGCTCACAACTGTCTTAAAATTCTATTTTCAAACGATCTGATGTCCTTTGACCTCCTAGACACCAGCATGCATGTGATGCACATAAACTCACATAGGCACACGCCTAAATGGTTCGTGAACCAGAACTCTACCAGATATAAATTAGGCTGCCAAACAGATGTGGTGATTAGGGACTGGGCTTTGAGCCTTGCTGTGGTAATAGCAAAGAAATCAGAAACTTCAGGTTCTTATGTGTTTTTGTAGCAAAGGAAACCACAGCAGAAACAATGTATATACAAATTGTACATGCATAAGTGCTGAGATGAATGATAGGGACAAGAACATTTCAGAAAAAGAAGTAATTGGGGCTAATCTAGTCAGATATGACCTTCGGGACCAAGATTGAGCTGTTTGTTTCCTTGGCTGTTTGTCCTGAGGCAGGATTTGTGGAATGTTTAAAGGAATAGCTTAGGACTTTACACTGAGCCACAGCCCTGTGAGTAGGGCATCAATAGGTTTTAGAAACTTTGTACTGAATATAGTTGTTGTTGTTATTTGAATGCACATACCATTTCCTTCCCATCAAACAGGAAACAGTTGTATGAACAGCAACACTAGCCCCTGGAGGCTGCAGGAAGTCAAACCCATGTCTGGTTTTCTAACCTAAATGTTAAGCATTTTGATACTCATTCTGCTTATCCAGTCTCTTGTCTTTTCCTGAGCCTGGCCACCATAACCTCCATGTGCAGTCTTTAATGAAATATCTTGTTTAGGAATCATCCCAACATCTTATCTGGGAAAGTTAGAGTTTCCCGAAGTCTACCATTCTGATCAGAGTTCCTATCTGAGTTCTGGGCATGTAGCTCAGTGATAGTGTGTTTTTCTAGCATGCACAGTCTTAGGTTCCATCACTCATATCACAAAATAACAATAGCAATAATTTCTATAGATACAAAATACAGAGTATATATACAGTGTTTCTAGAGTAGATGTAGAATAATTTCTATTTGTTGTATTGGAAGTTAATATATTAAGTAGTAGAGAAGAGTAAACCTTTTTTCTTTTTTTTTTTTTTTAAGTGAGAGAAGCAGTTTGTCTCTATCTCAGCGTCTTTGTACTGTCCCACTCACCAAAATTCTTTCTCATAGTGGTTGCCTGTATCCACAAATTTTTTGAGTGTTTTTTGTTTGTTTGTTTGTTTTTGTTTTTTTAAGCATATACTCCATGGGCCCTTACTTGATTGGTATTGTCTAATATGGTAGGCAGGAAAATTGAGGATTCCAGGTTAGCCTTGAGAATTTGGAGGCCAGCCTGGGCTATGTGAGTTCCTGCCTCAGACAGCAACAACAAAATCATTTCAGATGTGGAAAATAGCTTTTCTGTATTAGTATCTGTAATAAGTCATAAAATTGTCCTAGTGCTAGGGAACAATGGGGTTGGATTTAACTATCAGTTTCTTTTTTGTTTGTTTTCTGTTGTTCATGACAGTGTTTCTCTGTGTAACAGTCCTGGCTGTCCTGAAACTCACTCTGTAGACAAGGCTGCCTTGGAACTCTGCCTCTGCCTCTCACATGCTGGGATTGAAGGCCTGTGATGCCACAGCCCAGCTAAATGTATCTCTTTAAAGAGTACCATGTAGAATGTTTTAACTTTAAAGAAATAACTTAATTACTGTAGTGTTACTTTTGGTGTTTTAGGTGGAACGTTAGTCCCTCTAGTGGGTGGAGTGTAACCTGCCTGAGTCCTGGGTAGAACGTTTGATGGTGATTGGATTCCCATGGCCCTAGCTTTCAAGTGTAGTGTTCTCATTGGTACTGGTATCCATCATGCCCTGTTGATAGGCACTATATAGTCTAGGCCCAACTTCTTCTACTCATGAGATTCTCTGGCCCTGATCCTTCCTGGCCTGTGATTTTTTTGTAAGCTGCTGTATTTCAAGTCTTAGCAAGTGTTTTGTTTGGTTATGGTCTCCCTTTGTATTCTTGTCTGGCCTGAAACTTGCTGTGTAGATTAGGCTGGCTTCAGCCTCTGAGATCTGGCTGCCTTTGCCTCTCAGGTGCTGAGATTAAAGGCATGGGCCACCACTGCCACTGCACTACTGCTGACCATTTAGCATATTTAAACTCAAACTAGATTTTATGTTAGGCATGTGCTTTGCCACTGAACTACATCTCTAATCAGCCTTACTGTACAATAGTAATAGTGGTAGTAGTAGTGGAGGCCAGAAGACTACCTCAGCTGTTGTTCTTAAGCAGCCAGCCACCTTGCTTTATGAGATAGGGCTTCTCATAGGCCTGTGGCTCACCAGTTGAGTGAGGTTGACTGGCTGGTGAGCCCCAGGAATAGTCCCCCATTGGGGGATTACAAGTATGCCACTATGCTTTTTTGTTGTTGTTGTTTGTTGTTTGTTTTTAATGTGGATTCTTGGAATCAGGTGCACAGGATTGTATGACAAGCACTTTATAAACTTTATCATCCCCTGCCTGTGTGCATTTCACTGTGAGCCTGCTTGGGGCACCGCAGATAGAAAAGGTGGTTTAGTGCTTAGAGCGTGTCTGTAATGGTAGCTAGAGTAGAGCAAGGTAATAGCGCTTAAAAGAGTTTGTTTTTGAAGTTTGAATCTCAATTTTGTATTACTAATGGTGTGACTCTGAGCTATAATGACACAGCCTTTTTTAATTTTGTATTACTAATGGTGTGACTCTGAGCTATAATGACACAGCCTTTGTCTCAGTTTTCTTCAGTGAAGGAAGTGGTGGAGCTTTCTCCAGAGCTGTCTTCAGCACTGGAAAGAACATGTACAAAGGTCTGGAGTGGGGAGCAGAAACCCTGCAAATGTCCATATTTGTGTCCATTATAGTACACTGTATTTAATTGTTGGAACAACTTTTTCTTTTTTCTTTCAGTCACCTCCAAGTAAACGAAGAAAATTAGAAAAGCCAAGGAAACCCATTACATTTGTGGTGTTGGAGTCTGTTATGAAAGAATTATCCCTCAAAGCCTCATCTTTGGGCTCTGAGACGGTGGAAGGCATAGGAGTTGTGACAACGTGGATAGAAAGAATTCTCACTGATCTGAAGGTGTGTGGCTAAGCATATTGATGAAGTACTAATCCATAATGACCTTCATTTTTTAAAAAAATAATTTATTTAACTTTAATTTTTGTGGATTGGTGTGAAAGTATTAGATCCCCTGGAACTAGAGTTTTTCAGACAGGTGTGAGCTGCCATGTGGGTGTAGGGAATTGAACCCAGGACCTCTGGAAGAGGTGCCAGTGCTCTTAGCCACTGAGCCATCTCTCCAGCCCATGAGTTTTTGTTTTAATTGAAGGAGCTTGATAGTGACTGATGATTTCCTATAAAATTGTGGTTTTTCCTCCACCTAGGTCCACCATAAACGAATTCCGTGTGGAAAAGAAGAAGTTAGTATTTTCGTGACAGCAATAGAAAACTCTTGGATTCATTTAAGGCGGAGGAGGAGAGAACGAGTGAGACAACTAAGGGAGGTGCCCCGAGCACCTGAGGATGTTATCCTAGCCTTGGAGGAGAGAAAGTCCACGCCCAAAGAGTTGAGTGGTAGCCAAGATGTGGTCCCATGCTCCCAGGAGAGTGCCTTGTGTGGCCTTGCTGTACCAGAAGGCGAGTCTGCCACTGTTGGTGGCCATTGCCTCAGCCAGGAGTCATTTTGCCAGGAGGAAACTCCAGAAGCCATGGAAGATGAAAGGAGTGAGGAAAGGGAAGGAACGGAGGTCATGGAAAGTTGTAAGGGCTCTAGCAATGGAGCCCAGGACGGAGAGGCTTCTGAGAAGGGAGACCGCCTGGATGGAGCCGCTGGACGTTACCTGTTTAAGTGCCTGATCAACATTAAGAAGGAAGTAGATGGCGCCTTAGTTGAAATGCATTGGGTCGAGGGCCAGAACAGGGATTTGATGAACCAGCTCTGCACCTACATACGTAACCAAATTTTGAGGCTTGTTGCTAGTTAATTCTTAATTTCTTCTACAGTTAGAAAAGCGTCTGTATATGGCTGGGGGTATGGTGCAATGACTGTGTGTGCTTAGTATGCAGAAGGCACCCTGGGTTGAGTCCTTAACATCTAGCATCAATTCAAAAAAAAAAAAAAATCTATAACATAGCTTTGGAGGTGGAGCCTTTTGGGAAATCAGAAGAATTTCACCACTGGTCCATTAGTGACACCATGTGGAATCATGTTACAAAGCAGAAATTTAGTTGAATGTGATCTCTAACACTTATAATCCCAATGTTTGGAGGCTGAGGCAGGATGATTGGTGTGAGTTTAAAGTCAGCCTGTGATACAGAGAAAGACACTTGTTAAATAAAACGAAGGAAAAAGGAAAGAAATGAATCCATTTTTAATCCTTCCCCTCTTAAAGTTATCTGGAGTTGTATGTATAGTGCAGTGGCTCAGGAGGAATTACAACTATTGCAACGGCAGATAAACTTAGGAGGAACTTACATTCTACTCCAGCAGTTTATCTCAGCCTGGCACTGATTCCCTGAGGCCAGAGGTACTGTTTGTGTCGTCTGGTCTGGGTCAGTGCAGCCTACAACATGTCTATTGCTAAGGGTTGCTTGGTGAAGAGGGTATTAGTGTTCTCCTGCTTTCTCAGGTACCCAGAGTTGATTGAGCCAGCCCTCAGAAAGGAGCTAGCCTGGTGGCCAGGACCTCAAGGAGAGGGCCAGTCTTTAAACACACGGGAAGCAACACATTCCTTAATTGCTGCTGTTCTGACGTCACCTGTATCAGAAGCAGAATTGAGGAAGCAAAATCTGAGCTGAGGCACAACAAAATGTACCCATCCCCCTCCAGCCCACTGGCAGTATTGTGTAGCAGTTGTGCTGCTTTATTAACATGTGAAATGGAATATGTTTTGTTTTTAATATAAGACTTCAGAATTGAAAACATTGGTCCTGTTTGAATCCTGGAATTGGGGAAGTATTTTCTTGTATTTGAGTTGGGGAAATGGTTGATGTGACAAATGAGAAACTAAGTTTCTATGTGTACTAGGTAGGATATAATGGTGTGTCAGTGGTAAGGCCCTGGATTGATTTTTGAGGGGGCGGTTGTTTGTATTTTTTTTCCGAGGCAGCATTTCTCTGTTTTACCCAACTGTCCTGGGACTTGCTCTGTAGACTAGGCTGGCCTTGATCTGCCTGCCTCTGTCTCCCAAGCACTGGGATTAAAGGCATGAGCCACCACCTTCCAGCTCCTGGTATTCTTACCGTGTAAAGTGGAGTCTTCTATGTTGCCAGCTGATTTGTTGGCCCAATCCTACTTTTTCGGTGGCTTTTCTCTCTGTCTGTTTATCTGAGGCTTGGGTATCAGTTTCTGAAACACATTTGTAATGGGAAGGCCGAGGTTTTGCAGATACTTCTGGAAGAGTCTCATTTTTGTTCTTTTCATGTCTCAGAAACAGTCTGTGTGCTGGGTTCTTGACTAGCAGCCTGGAGTTCTATATGAGCAGACTGAACATTTTAGCCATAGTCTTCAGAGACTCCTGGGAGCATATTTTCTCCTCTCCACCCCCTCCGCTGGAGATCTGTTCTATGATATATCGATCAGAAACCAACTAAGGAAAAGAAGCACTGTTCCAATCCATTCATTCATTTGACAGCATGAAGAAACCAATGTTCAGGGTCGAAAACTGCCCAGATCGAAATCCAGAGCCCTAGATCGCCTACATCCAGTAATTATGTCTGTGTCGGGATATGTGTACTTGAGGGCAGGTACCTACAGAGGCATCAGATCCCCTGGAGCTACCTGATGGGGTGCTGGGAACCAAACTTGGGTCCTCTGCAAAAACAGTACATGCTTTTAACCTCTGAGCCATCTCCCCAATCCCTGTTCTTGTTCTTTGAGTCATGGTCTTATGTGTCCTCAGACTTGGTGTGTGTCTGAGGATGGATTTAATATCCGATCCTCTAGTATCTTTATCTTGGGTGCTGGGATTACAAGCCTGATTGTATGTGGTAATGATGAATTGAGCCCAAGACTCCCTTCATGCTAGACAAATGCTCTACCAACTGAGCTGTATCCTCAGTCCGCAAATCTAGTTTTCTTAATGAAATCTTAGGATCTCTGCGTTCAATGGCAGTTAAATGCCAGAATACCTGGCAGATACTCAATAAACAATTGATATTTTTCTCATAAATTAGCAGATGTTCAATGATCTTGAAACAGAATTGGCTAGAAATGTGTCTCCCAGGTAGAACACTCCCCCAGCATACGCAAGACAACCAATTTGATCATTAGCAATACAGAACAAACACACTGGTTACTTAGGGTGTTAGCCTTCTAACAGCTGTCATTAGCATTTTTGTATTTTATTCCAGTCTTCATGTAGGTGGTACAAATGTGTGTGTGGTTAATTTGGATTGTATTTATGTTGGAAGTTTGACTTTCTGTTGTACTTTTTGTTTAACTTAAAGGTTTTTTCATGGTTTGGTTTGGTTGGTGTGTGTGTGTGTGTGTGTGTGTGTGTGTGTGTGTGTGTTAACACACTGTGCCTGCCCATTCAAAATGCCCTTCAGGACAGTGTTGACTTTTGTTTAAGTCTAGTTCCTAGAGATTCTTACAGAACATTACTAGAGATACAAAAGTTGTATCTGTGTCTATGTGTTTCAACCCTAAGGTTGAAACTTGTTATGGAGAAAATTGTATAGGTGTTAAAATAATCATCCTAGAAAGAAAAAAAAAATGTTTGAAAAGAGTGGTGTCCATGGTCTTTGGAAGAACTAGAGTTATGAATACTTTTGCTGTTGTTTAATGAGATGACATTGAAAACATCTTAAAGGGACATATTATGTGCTTGAAGAGAAGCTTTTTAAAGAAATTGGTTGCTCACGTGTCACAGTATTGAGTGGCATTCTGCTTAAGTGTCTGGAGGTCAAGTTTGTGTTGGTGTTGGTGCAGTGATAGGAAATGAAATCTCTGTGGTATTATCTTAAATTCTATTCTGGTCCCTGCTAGGCTTCTGATTCCCTGATAGCTGAAATGAGAACAGAAGCAGAACTTGTTTTCCAGTGTGAACTAAGGTGCTTTTGTTTAGAATCTGCTTCGGTTTTGTTGATTTGGTTCCTCCACCCTACCTGTGCTCGTATGTTCTCACACTAGGGCTTTGCTGGACTCTGGGTCCAAGTTGGCAGCTCTTAGGAGGAGTTTTAGCTAACCATAAGGATTCTGGCCTATTGGTATATTTAGGAAATAGAACCTCTTTTTCCTGGTGGAAATCAAAGCTTCTGATGCTGACAGGAATAATCAAACAGCCAGGTGTGGAAAAGATGTAAAAATCCCATGCAGAAGCCATCTAAGGCCTTTGTTTGTTTTTCGAGATTGGGTTTCTTTTGAGCCTGTCCTGGCACTTGCTTTGTCGACCAGACTGGACTCAAACTCACAGAGATCCACCTGCCTCTGCCTCCTGAGTGCTGGGATTAAAGGCGTGAGCCACCAATGCCTGGCTTACTTTGATTGATTGATTTTTTGAGGCAGAGTGACATTCATGAAGCTCAGGCTGGGCTTGAACTTTCAAGGTAACCAAGGTTGATAATGAACTTACTCCTGGTTCCTGTTTCCACTTTCCCAGTTTCTGGGGTTGCAGACATTGCCTCCAAGCCAGGTTTTATGTGGTGCTAGAAGTTGAACCCAGGGCTCTGTTAGTACAAGGCAGGCACAGTACCAACAGAGCTGCAGTCCCTGGGCTCTCTCTCCCCCCACTTTGAAGACAAGGAAGTGAATGCTGTTGGTATGGTGACCCCAACTGTAATCTCAGCATTTGGGAGGTGGAAAGTTGGAGGAGGGTCAAAAGTCCTAGGCTGAGTTCAGACTTACCTACACTGAGTTCATGGCCAGGGAGAAGGGGGAAGAGAGGCTATGGGAGCCCCTTGGTCTTTTTAAACTTGCAGCACTTTCTTCTGGAGCCACACGGGGGCACCCTTCAACCCCTTCAATAACAGTCCTGAACTTCATTGTGGGAATGGATGAAATTGTGTCAGTGGAATTTCTAGAAATACTCAGTTGTACTCAAGATAACTATGATGGTATATTTTCACTTAAAGTTTTTTGTAAAAATCACCAAATCACCTACCTATACATTGTATACACCCCCCCACACACACACACACACACAAGGGAGTCTTGACTGTCCTGGAACTCTCTCCATAGGCCAAGCTGTCCTCAAAGAGATCCCTCTGCCTCCCAAGTGCTGGGATTAAAGGTGTGCGCCACTACCACTTGGCTATAGTTTTTATAGTCTCAACTGACCAGCTTTTATTTTCTTCACGTCTGTCTACTCTAGAACATACTCATTTTGGGCCTGTCCTTTAGATTTGGGGGGAGGGATGGAGTTAATGAGGATCACAGAGAAGGGGATGTTAGTATGTGGTGATATATTGTTTATGATCCAATAAAGCCACTGAAAATCAGAATGCATAGCTAGCTACAGCCACAGAAGCTGGGCAGTGGTAATGCACACGTTTAATCCCAGGACTCAGGAGACAGAGGCAGATGGATCCCAGGGCTACATGAGAGTGATCAGTCTAAAAGGGAAACAGAGCTCACGCCTTTAATCCCAGCGCTAGAGAGGTCTATAAGATACGAGCAAGACATTCAGTATTCAGTCTTAGGCATTCAGTCTCCAGCCACACTTAGGATTCGTGGAGCCAGGATCACCCCCCAGTCTGAGTTAGAGGTAAAAGCTATTGGCTGGCTGCTTTGCTTCTCTGATCTTCAGCTTAAACCCTGATACCTGTCTCTGGGTTTTTATCATTTATGCTACAGTAGTGACTTGTCAAAAGCTTTCTGTTCCAGGGCTGGTAAGAGAAATCTCCTAGAGAAGTACATTTTCATCTTGCTTTACATTTGATCTTGGCAGACTTTTTCGAGACAGGGTTTCTCTGTTTAGCTTTGGAGCCTATCCTGGCACTCGCCCTGGAGACCAGGCTGACCTTGAACTTACAGAGATCCGCCTGCCTCTGCCTCCTGAGTGCTGGGATTAAAGGTGTGTGCCACCAACGCCTGGTTTGGGTCTTATTTTTTAAGGATGTTTCTGTATAGAGTAGAACATGCTTATGACTAGCCCTGTATGGCTCTAGGCACAAGGAGAATTGCTCTCTGTTTACTTCATGGTACAAGGTCAGGGTCTGCAGTGACACTTCTACTCTGTTTCCAAAACTTCAGTTACTGTTCATTGAGTAAAGACAGCCTCAGAGGTGCTATCCAGGGGTGTCCTAAGGAAAGGGATGTGGCTTCATTGTTTTTAGGAAACTTGCTGTTCAGGTGATTTCATTTGCTGAATGACAAATCACCTCAGTAAAATCCTGTTGGTCACTGATAGAACAGTCAGCTTTTACCTCTTGAAGGAGGGCATTAATGGTTTGAACGATGCTAATCATCCCATATGCCTTGTGTGAGTACCAGTGCACGGTTAAAACGCCTGGCTAGGGGCACCCATAGCAGTAGAACTTAGACATGCCTCAGATCCTATTCTGTTCTGGAAAGATCTGCTGTGACTCACTCAAATGACTAAAACAGCGGTTCATTTCTTTAATTGCTGGTTAGAACAGCTAATGCTGCCTTTGTGAGTCTGTGCTTTTACTCCGGGAAACTATGTTGTGACTGAATGAAGACCTTGTACCTCTTTGAGATGTAGCCTATCTGCCTGTCCAAACAGAATCTCGGGGCCTCTAAGCTCTCCTTAGGAGGTAGAGGATGTGGGGTGCTCCTTAGAAACAGGGAAACAGAACAAGGGAAGAAGGTAGAGGGCAGATATAACAGCTACATTTGACAGAAGTGGCTTGGAACCAGTGCTTAGAAGAGGTTAGCCCAGGGCAGTGAACAGTGGGAGAGCACAGGCCTGGAGGCTCATCATCCCTGGGACTACAATGCTATTCCACTCCTTGT